TTTATTAACCGTATGCTGGTATTATATAAGTGAACTAATCGATTGTTGATGAATTTTCCAGCAAACAAATTGACGTTACACAAATTTTTTTAATATTACGATTTTCTAACTTAAAAGTACAATAAAAGCAAATAGAAGGGCTCGAGGGAGTAGACACTGTTCAAAATGTATTAAAATAACGTCAGCTTGTTTAATGAGTTATGTTTCGCATGTTAAAAAGAATTTGGGAATATTTCATTTTAAATTTTGCTAACAGAATAATCTATCAGTTCTCTATGATAGCTCTCGGTACGTACCGAGTTACGCATGAAGCGCATGATGCATCATTTGTTGTTGTTGTTCACCAAATAATAAAGGACGACAAAATCATTCGCTTCATGCATAACATGCGAAACATACCTTCTGTGATGGCTCTATCGCTTTAGAAACTGGTGGCTCTAGAATAATTATATATTTTCACAGACGTCTTGCGCGCCTAGACTGACAAAAGCACGCTGTCATTTCTTTTTGCAGGAAACAACAACGATAACCCAGCGTAACAACAATTTGACCGAGTACTATCAGTCGCTACGCGACAACATGATCACTCTGCTGGAGCAAGTGCGAATACCGAACGCCCCGGGCGGACCGCAGGAGAAAATAGGCCATGAGAACTTCGATAGTTACCTGACGAAGTTGCAGACTCTGTGCACCGCCGACGGCTACTGCGCTGACGAGAGCAACCGGCCGATTTACGAGACGGTGAAGACCGCCCTGCAGGACTTCACGGTCCTGCCGACACCCATCTGAGACCATCCTTAAGGATCGACGATCTGGTACTGAGCGTCGCTCTTGGGACTCGCGCGATCAAGCGATCTGGCGTATTCGTGACGCCGATCGCAAGTCGTTCCGCTCTCGTCCACTGGATACTAAGGAGGGTGAACGGAACGGAGTGCGAGAAGAACGGTGCCTGGTTCCCATGAAAATGTAGACGCATATAAATCGACACGAGGACGCACGAAAGGGAACTGCGTCGATCGTGACTGAGCACCGCGGATCGGCCTATCGACCTAGGAGAAACCCGGCTTCGTGACGCGTGTGACTCATCCGGATATTGTGGAGAATCCGGCCGTGCGTCACACACGTGTCTACGTGTGTACTTACGTCGCTCGCGTGAATTTCGGACTACGTCACTTGGCGACGTCAACCTCGCGATCATTGCACGTGCGATCGTCGGGTGACGATTGTCGGTGAAAGTCGTCGTGGCCGGTCGAGCATGCCGACCGGCTCGTAGGCTTGCTTAGGAAACCGCTATAACGGCATCTAACCACCGCACCGGTATGACGACTCCATTGGGGCAATCGAACTAAATTAAACGGACTATTGTTTGTACGGGGGGCGACGTTGGCCCCCGTAGCGATATATCTTTTGTACATAACGATGTCTGCGTCAAGTATCATGATCGATAGCGGCCGCTATCGCCGCTTATGTACATACACTACGGGAGAAATTGCGTTTATATATTATTCGACACAGGTTGATGGTTAAGTCGCTCTATAAGTCGTGTAAAAAAATGATTAATTTAGCTGTATATCGGATTCTTGCCACTTAACGCTGTGTAACTGTTATTACCGTTTAAGCGAGATCAGCGCGCGACTTTACGAGGACCGCGGTGCGTCCATCAGTGACGTTTCTCTGCTGATGAAAATCCAAAAGCTACGTATAAACCAATTTATCGACTAACTATTTACCAGCTAGTCACTATTATTATTATGATTATTATCATCATCATCATCTCATCATTATGATTATTATTATTACTGTAACTATTACTGTAACTATTACAATCAGCCAGATCGTTTTTAGCGACTAATTCAATCGTCATTATTGCTACCATTACTCTTACTACTGTCGATAAAATATAGTCACGAAGTATACTAACATATTTATATAATATAATCGAATCTATAAGAAAGAAAAGTGCGATGCGTGTTGTCCATAGACTGTACATAGTCACAGAGATATACAATTATTATAAGGACAAAAATCGCTGGCGATAATGAGCTGCGATTTTGGTGGGACGACGAAAGAGAGAGTGAGAGGGAGGGAGAGAAGAGAAAGAGAGAGAGAGAGAGAGAGAGAGAGAGAGAGAGGGGAAAGGAAAAAAAGAAGAAAGGAAAGAATAATGCTCACGAGGTCATACATGGCCTCTTCATTAACAGCTGTCAATCGTAAGTCCGATGTTCTGTCGAATTTATGCTTGTTCGAGGCAAGTGATCAAGTCTCGATCGTTTCATCAAGGACACAAAGAAGGATCGAGCTTCGCGTTTCTTCATGATACGTCGCGACCAATTCGGTCGGAGGATATTCATTCGTATGTGTTATAATTTCGGAATGTGTCACATTCTCCCCCCTGTATATTCGTGATCACCTATGACCGCATCGTGAGACACGTGTACATTTGTATCGGCGCGGTTATTATTGTTTTCGTTGATATATTGTGTTTCTGTTTATTTTATACGTTTGTTTTGCTGATGGAACGAGAAATGCAAGGAATTTGTAAATAACGAAAAACCGGCTCTAAATCGTAAGAGTCAACGCTTCTCGTTGGAGTCGCATGAGTGTTATTATTGCTGTAGAACAACATGCCAGAATTTTGGTTTTCGCTGGTTGACCTTTTACACCTACGTGTAAATCGATCGATCGACATGCAAGAAACTTTTATTAATTTTAACAATATAACGCCTGAAAACAAAATGGAAACATATAATTCAACTATAGATTTATTAAAATATAAATATAGATATAATTAAAAGGAAGAATTTGTTATAATGAGGCGCTTATAGATCATTGCGTATCATACAATTGATGTATTCATTACATTTAATATTATAATTGTATAACTGCCAAGAAAAACGTTCTCAATATATATCATAAATGTTTAAATAATTTAATTTTAATATTCTTATTTTCTCTCTTCAAATTATAATCATAAATTGGGAAACGTCAAGATTGTCAAATCATAGGATCATCGTAAAATAGCAAACATGTCGATCGTACAATCAGTGAATTTGCCGATATGAAACTGCAGTTAAAATTATATTATGTTCGCTACTATGTGTATCAGATAATGTATATAAAGAGAAGGGAAAATTAATTGTTTGTCTGAGATGCTGATGAGATGGAAGAAGCCGCGTGCAGAAGAAGTAAATATACTTTAACCAACCACCGTGTAGTGAGAGTAATAACAAATTACAGATAGCGATAGTCGACCGACAATTACGAATAATCTCGACGTTATAATTATTCTTGTCACTATCATTGTCATTATAATTACATCGTCACTGTCGTACTAAAATATTTCTTTTCTTATTTCGAGTTAGCGCAATTGGCATGTAAAAAAAAGGAGATAAGAATGAGAGTGAAAAACAGATAACCAACAATCAACAGTTACATTTTGACTTTGCAACAGAATACCTAACTTCAGTTTCTGTTGCGTCGCAATTAATATTAAGACTGCAATATTCATTATGGTACGTCATTATCATCTACTAGTCTTGAGTACTATTGTTATTATTGCTATTATTATCAACATTATTTTATTTTTATTATTATTATTATTATTATTACTATCAATTTATTATCACTATTGTCGTTACGTTTTCGTCACTATTACGATTATGATTGTTGCCGTTAATAAAAATCTACAGGTATATAAGTTCAATAACATGCTTTAAGTAAGTATAAATGTTACTCCGATTGAATAAAGGGTATTTATCGATGAATACTAATTATTTCTCCTTTCACATTATATTTGTATAAAATATTTTTAATGCCTATTCATAATATTCATAAGAGGCACGATATGTTATACGATTTACGAGATAGAAAAAGAGGAGCTGATTTAAAAACGGAAATGGCTCTATCGGAGCTTTATAATTTTATAACTTTATACGCTGATGTTACGTTAAAGATACGTGGAAGATAACGTAAGCAAGATAATTAAATAATACGCGATCTTCCACACGATATGACATTTAGCAGGAAACAATGATATAAAAGCAGGACACATGAGAACAAGAGAACAATAGGAAGAAAATTGCCGTAGAAAAATTTCGTATTTTGTATTTGCATTTTCGATATAAAAAAGTCTTATTTTACAAGCATCGCCATTGCATTCGACAGTGTTGCATTATATTAATTATATCTACACGTATGTATATGTATAACAATATATATCACAATAAAATGGACGTGCGAACGGTTTTCGCATGAGTGTGCTGTGCGCGCGTGTGCGTATTTAAATAGACAGACACTGAGATATGGCAGAAGATCATTCTTCAGTAAATTACGCGCAGCTGAGTTTGCAACGCGCTAAATGCTCTATTACTGTGATTCCTCTCCGAATCATCGTGGGACGCGTACCTCTATTCGAACGCGCATTGCAATCCCGACAGTGTCCCGGAGTGAGAAAATCTATCGCGGACATTTCCCATCGTGTATATATAAAAAGTCACGTGGACTCAATAGTGAATGGTTTGAGCTGCTCATTTCGAAAGTGACGTGGGAATGAAATATTTGGAACACGATGAATTTTAAATATTATATTATATTACATATGTAGGGATGAATCGATGCGATTTACTTATTTTAACATACGTGATTCCGTCAACGTTTTTTTTTTTCACGTCACTTCCGAAATAACTCGTGATCGTATAACGGGATGAATTAAAAATACATATTCTAGAAAACACGTGTTTGCTCCGTCAATTGACTTTAAGAGACCACCGTTTCTGCAGATCGGCGTCAATCAGGCGCGACTGGAATCGTTAAATTAAATGAACAGTCGACCGCAAGCTGAACGAAACATCTGACTGTCAAAAGTCGTTACTTCATTCTCGCGGTTACAGAACGGCCGAGCAATAGCGCAGTTGATAGAAATCGCGGTCGCTATGACATAATTCATCGCAGATAGATTCTCATTGAGACGCGATTATTGGATTACATTGAAAGAAGTACGATATGTATAGACTTGTATGTTTGCAATTGTGCACTGTGTGTCAGTGCGTCGTTACGTATCACCTTTGCGTGTTCTTAATTTTTTAAGATGAGCGCAATTCCGTGAGAGATCCATCTGGCTTTCGAGAAATAATAAAGTGAAATTTGGATTCGTGATATAATTTGAAAGTAACCGCAAGTCTTAGGCCGCGTTGAATAAACTCGGATATAGCCACAATTAAAACGGTTCTCTGTTTCTGTTCAACGGTTCTCTGTGTTTTTTTTTTCTCGATCGTAATAGGAAATACAGTAACGTAGTTACAAAGGAAGAATTAATCGTTCTAAGCATTGAACGATGTCAGTGCCGTCAGGGTTCGCAGTGTTTAATAGATAATAATCTAAGCAATTGATATCTGAGGCATCGCGAAGAGATCTTCTCTCAATTCTTGATCGTGGAAATATTGAGCGTTTTTTGAATGATTCACAACTCTCTCTCCTTCACATTTTGCACATCTTGCACTTATACGTATACGTTATGTATCTCATAACGACAAGAGCAAACAACGGAATTGTCGCATGATCGTATTATTCGCAGTTCCACGGACGTGATCGCTCTTCGCAATTGACAACGGTGTACGTCGATTCTCGATTCACGTCGTAGACCCGCGTATTCATTGGTCTCTATTTTCAATACTCTAATCTCACCTGGAACAAAAAGAAATTCGTTCGAGAGATATTAGCCCTTCTTACAAATTTAAAAGTACTCTGCCGTATTTAAAGATTTTATTATTGTAATGTTTTACACAATCGAG